GGGTTCTTGAATGAAAGAGCGATCGATGAAGCAGATTGTTCGATAGAAGTAGGGTTAGGGTTCTTGAATGAAAGAGCGATCGATGAAGCAGATTGGCAATCGGCCCTAACACATTATCCAACTTCAAATTCAAAGAAAATGTGAATGAGGGTTAAAATGGTAATTTACTGTCATTCAGAGAACAATTACCAAACAACATTATTTCATTCGGTACTTAACCATTCTGACCACTTAACCATTCTGCACCAAACCATTCAGCAACTGCCAAACAGCCCCTCAGTCAACTATCCTTCACTTTCTCTTTTATACTAATCATGTATTTAATTATACAAAAATGTTGCTATATGCATACTTATTTATATCAAAATCATATCAAATCAAATCATGTAATAGAAATGTTAAAAAAAATAAGTATTTATTTTAATTTATAAACATATAACTAACAGATATGTATATATGTATATATTTAACAAATAATAGACATATTCCATAATAAAACAACATATATTGATGAGATGGCATACCATTTGATAAATAAAATGTATTTGACATGATATGATATTTTAAATACTCTTTTAATCAATTATATAACTCATAAAAAATTATAAAAATTTCAATAAATCATTTTATTTATTTATTCTTTCTAAGTGATAAAAGTGAAGTTGCTTGATTTGCATAAAGATTATGTAATCAATATGAAAGTGATAATCTATTAATAACATATTTGATTTGCTAATTTTTTGAATTTACATCGATCAGCTATTAATAGCATGTTCTTGTCATTGATGGTGCAATGGGGAGGAAAAATGGATACCATTGGAGATAAAAACAGACGGTCATCAGAGGTAGGCGATGATGCAAAGTCGACGATCACCTAAGAGATGCCAAGGTTGATTGTAGATGGAACATAGCAAAATCGATGGTAGTAGGGTAGCAGGGACGGAGGAGTTGCAACAACAAAGGAGTTGGAAGGATGGAGGAGTTGCAACGACGAAGGAGGTCACTAGTCGTTAGAGATGAGCAGCAATAACGGAGGAGGAGAACGTTTTCTCTGTGGCTAGGGTTTGAACTTTGAAGGGAAGCGTCGGAAGGAGGCATCAATTTTTTTTAAAGAAGCGTGTTGTTTTTAATAGGGGCATATTTGTCAATATTTTGGCTTAATGGAGACAACTCACCCCTTCCATATTGTACGAATAAGCCCATATATTTATCAATAAGCCGTAAATAAACATCCATATGTGGCTGTGCGAATAAGTCAAAACAGCCATTAAGCTAATTAAGTTAAAATTAAACACCCCCTAAATTCTTTTAACATTCGTTTTTTTTTTCTTGAATATTTTTCAGATCTTCGATTTGAACATTTTACTCTTTGTCGTGTTGAATAGCTCTCATTGTCTTTAACCCTCTTTTAAGTGAGCAAAGTAAACGGTTTTTGGATCTAAAGCATATGGCATTTCTTCTAATGAAATCTCAACCCCATTTGTGTGCATGTACGGTTTATTCGAGTCACATGAATGAAGATATATCTTCAAAATATTTTATAATATTTCTTGCATTAATTTCGACCACAAATTGTCGTTTTGATTTTTAGTCATAATAAGTGGGTTTTTTTGGGCTTGTCCGGTTTTTTCGGCTTTGAGGAGGTTTTAATTAGACCAGTTTTTGGTTAACCAAAGACAAGTTATTGGCTATTATTTCAGCTTTTTTTTTTCTTTTAACTAATTAAGGACGAGTCATGTTCAAAATTTAGGATCAAAACAGGCTTTCAACTATAACCGGTCATTGGAGCGGGCCTTTTTGTAACGGTTTTTTTGGGGAACGGTCATCGATTCTTAACCGTCCAGAAATGAGTTAACTCTATCTCACATGCATGAAAACATATGAAGCATGTTGAAATCAATTACCACTTTGTTCTCCAACATGTTGGCCATACCATTCATCTTCTGCCTATATCTACCATTGTTCTTGATTCGATTTGCTACAAATCTGACACTTGTATTGAGAGTTTTTCTCTTTCATTTCCTTAAATGATATCACTTTCAAACTTATGCTATTAGATTGGATTGGTGGGTGATTTAACGGTTTATTCCAATTTCATCAAACAAGAAGATTAATACAAAGTTAAATTTTAGATACAAAATAATATTAATTTCAAGATTCTTTATTCTAAGCAAATGAAGTCAAGAAATGGGGACGTGTAGGCATGCATCAAGGATGGAATATAATTACTTCAATTTAATATACGGACAAATAAGAAAGAAAAAAGAAAATGAATAGAATTCGGCAATTTGTCCAAATCAATAACGTTTGAACAAGCCATTAGGACTTGGTCCAATACATATATATATATATATATATATATGATGTCATGCCGTCCAAAACTGGTTCAATCCAAGGTCACTTTGTTCATTCTGATCATATGGTCAAATAAATTTCTTGCCGATTCATTTTTCAAACCAAGATCATATGATCAGAACCAACAATTTTGATGATGGGTCCTTCCAATCTTGGCTGGAAAAGGCATAATAGCATACAACTTCATGCTCATACATGATCTTTTTAAGTTGGCAAGATCCATTAGATATGAACCCTAAGTTTCGACATGAATTTTGGGGGAATATATATATATATATATATATATATATATATATATATATTGAGTTCTTGAAGCCATTTATTTGATAACCAGATAACCCTTAGGTTTCCGAGTTTCCAAGTGATTTTGATAATCATATACATTGATTTACTTTTAAGTCCTATTACCTTAACTTCGTTGGCAAAATTTGTTATGTCATCAAACCTCGACTTAACAACTTATTGTAACCATGCATGTTGGTCCGATAAAATTAAGTCACATTAACTACTCCGTTAGGATGCCAAAGGGCCTAACTAAAAGGCCCACTTAATTTATTGTAGTGAAAATTCATATGACAACTCTTATTTGATACGAAAGTATTTTCAAACATGCATGCACTCTATATTTTAGGAATTTTTTTTATTAACCTGCTATGGGAGCCGACTAATCCCAGGGCGACCACCTGTTTTGCAGATAGTCTGGAGTCACCGCATTAGAATCTCCGTAGCCACAAGGGGATTTTTATTCATGTTTGGATTTGAACCTATCATCTCCTGGTATTTTTGAACTTTGGAACCAAACTCAAACCAACCAGACACCACCTTTGTGGTTATTTTAGGAATTTTAAACGTATCATTTTATGTTTTTGGGCATCAAAATGTTATGAATTGGTTATATCCACACAAAAGAATAATTTTTTATTAATATTATCACCAAAAGAAATCAAGAAATGGTCATAGTGATGCAGCAATGATCTTTGATTCACTATTTGATTGAACGATCATATATATCACCGGTATTATTGAAAGTTCAGATCATGGTTTTGTTACTTTATAAATGTCTTGACATGAAAGAAGAAAATAAAAGAAACGGTCAGAGAGTATGCATGCATGGAATTGCATGGTCTACCGAACGAGGAATGGAATCTATTAATCAGACAATTCCTTTTGTTTTAAATAAGACATTTGAACAAGTCATCGGGCACAGAGTCTGTTGCTCATTCTTATGAGGTATAAAGAAGCTTATTTTATTCATGCTTTCATGTTGTTATCTTGGAGTTCTGTCTTAAACACAAATAAAAGAATGGAGGATCTCAACAGTGACTGATGTCCATGATGTTTTTAGCACGTCTCAACACATTTTAGGACCTGGTCCACCGAACATTGGATTATATGCCGTCCAAAACTTGTTCGAAGTCTTTTGAATTCTTTCTCTCTTTCTTACTATAAATATCCACTTTATCTAAATTCCAATTCACAGATATACACACATAATCAGAAACATATTGTAGTTAAAAGATAAAAATGGCTACTAACAAGTGGAGTATCATCTTCCTCCTAGCAATGGTAGCATCTCTAGCTACTTCAGTTTCAGCCAAGGTGTTTATTGTTGGTGACGACAAAGGTTGGACTCTCAACTTCGATTATCAAGCTTGGGCCAATGGCAAAGAATTCGTCGTTGGAGATAAACTTGGTATATACGTGTTCCTTGTACAGTGAGCCTTACTTACGTTTTTCTACTTGATGGATGTATTGATAGTTGTATCTGTGATTAATCTTCTATATTTTATTTATGATGTAGTTTTCAGATATCCGACTGGACAACACAATGTGTTCCGAGTCAATGGAACTGTTTTCCAACAGTGCATGATTCCTCCTGCTATCGAAGCTCTGACCAGTGGATATGATGTGATAACTCTAGCAACCCCAGGAAGAAAATGGTACATCTGCGGAGTTGGAAAGCATTGTGAGTTGGGTGGTATGAAACTTTTCATCAATGTCCTCCCTCAATCAATGCCTCCAGTTCCTTCGGCTTCTCATCCTCCTTCAGGCAAGGTGTTTGTGGTTGGAGATGATAAAGGCTGGACATTGAACTTCGATTACCAAGCTTGGGCCAGTGGCAAGGAATTCGTTGTTGGAGATAAACTTGGTATATATGTTTCCCATTATACAGTGAGCCTTGCATATATGCTTTTTTGCTTGATGGATGTATTAATGGTCGTATCTGAATCATCTTATATTTTCTGGATGTAGTTTTCAAATATCCGGCTGGAAAACACAATGTGTTCCGAGTCAATGGAACTGTCTTCCAACAATGCATGATTCCTCCTGCTATTGAAGCTTTGACCAGTGGATACGATGTGATAACCCTAGCAACCCCAGGAAGAAAATGGTACATCTGTGGWGTTGGAAAGCAYTGTGARTYGGGTGGTATGAAGCTTTTCATCAATGTTCTCCCTCAATCAATGCCTCCAGTTCCTTCGGTTTCTCCTCCTCCTTCRGGCAAGGTGTTTGTGGTTGGAGATGATAAAGGCTGGACCTTGAACTTTGATTACCAAGCTTGGGCCACCGGAAAGGAATTCGTTGTGGGAGACAGACTTGGTATATATATATACATATATATATATGCTCTTATATATTATAGCCCAATATTGCAATTTCTAAAAGCATTCTATATACGTTTAAAGCAAATAGCTAACTGGTTTAAACATTATTGATGCAGTCTTCAGATATCCAATGGGAAAACATAATGTTTTTAGAGTAGATGGAACTTCCTTTCAGCAATGTACCATCCCTTCTGCTAATGAAGCTCTAACCAGTGGATATGACGTGATCACCCTAGCAACCCCAGGAAGGAAGTGGTATATTTGTGGTGTTGGAAAGCATTGTGAGATGGGCCTGAAGCTTTTCATCAACGTAGTCCCTCAATCAGCGTATGCATATCCACCTCCTCCATACCATGGAATGAGAAAACTTGCACCACCAAAATTCTAGGCTTCAAAATTGCCTTCAATTCTCTTGCGCTGTTAACAGTGCTACGATATGATTTCGTTACACTCTGGTGATCATTGTAATATTTATCATCATATATCTTTCTTTCGTGTGAGTTTAATTTTTGTTGTATTCATTGAATTTGGTGGCCTATGATCTTAGCTCTTGTTGCTAGTATTAAGGTCCATTTCAAGTGAATTTGTTGTTATTTTAATTTATTTGATTATTATAATCTAAGATGTTTTCTATCTATTTTGGTATTAATCACAAAAAGCCGGGAAAAATATCTGTCTTAATGAACAAGCTAAGCCCTATTGTTTGTTATGTTATTCATATCTGCACTAATGAGGACTGTGGACTGATTTCAAATATGCATATCTGCAAATTCATTTTCAAATGAATATCAACACCATCAGATATGATAATGGGTCAGAAACTCAGAATTTATGATAATTCCATTCAGTCTTTGTGTACAAAGGCATTGTATTTATCTTATAGTCAATCATCAACCTGCGAATATTATCTGGGCATGTTAAGTCATATGCAAATTGTACTTGTAACTTTGTATATATGCAGATTGTTATTTCAAAAGGTCCTTACCAAGTTTCTTTTATATAAGTGGACAAGACTGTTGATTATGTTTGTGTCTTGTCTAATTAATGAAATATATGCCCTTTTGTTACATATATAATAACATAAACAGATGACAAACTGTTATTAGTGATAAACTTCACCTTATTTCTAACCTGCATCACCATCTTAATGGTGAAGAAATTGGCTTACCTTTGACTTCTTTTGTTTGCAAAGATATCAGGGACAAAATCTAAGAATTTTTATACTGTGACACCATATAATATAGATAAAAAATAATTACAAAAGCACGGTTTTTATCAATGTATCTTCATGTTTTTATTAACGTTCAATATCGCTCGATGTGCTTTTAGTTTAATTCCACTTTCGAGAAATCTTTAAAGTTTTTTGCTTGATTTCGAGGAATTTTTTAGTTTTTCTTTATCGATTTCGAGGGATTTTTTCGGTTTTTTGGTTGATTTCAAGAGTTTCTTTTTCTAGTTTTTTAGTTGATTTCAAGAGTTTTTGTTTGATCTTTTTGGTTGATTACGAGGTACGGTTGCATCTTCTTGAACTTTTGAATATCACACGGTAGCACTTTCTAAAACGATACGGTTGTACTTTTCATACACGTAATTTTTTTAACTTTTCGTTAGAGAAATAATATGCCACCGTATGCCCTTCTATGGGTCAGTCCATGGGAGAAATCACTCCTAGTCCTTAAATCCCAATAACAATGAACATACCAGATAAGTGTCAATATGGAATATAATATAAGTTGATGGACGCACTACAACAAAATTGATTTTATAAGACACGGAATCGTCCTAAAAAATACTTTATAGGATGTTTTTAGGTGTTTTAACAAGGTTTTAGAACGTTTTTAAAATAAAATGTCGTATTAACTATTTGAAAAAAGTGTCATGTAACATAAATAGATGAGTTTATAGAAATAGCTAATTAATAACACTCCTTATTTTAGAAGCATTCTAAAAAACGTGTTAAAACGCCTAAAAATGTCCTATAAAACTATTGTAACGCTTTTAAATACGACGTTTTATAGTTTGGTCCTATTAACCTAAATTTTATAAATTATACTATTAGGATGCTATTAGACAATCTAAGTGTCCTATAAAGCCAATTCTATTGTAGTGACAAAGAATATACAATGTGTCACAATAATATTGCACAGATAGATAATAAAACCATACAAAATATGTCCGCTAATTAGCATATTTGAACCGTCTCGTCAATCCTAATTTACACAGGACATTCAAGAACAAAAGAAGACCATGTTATATCCAAAAAGAACCATTTGAAGTTGATAAATTTCCTAGTTCACACTCAAAAATGTCAAATTTTGGAACATAAAAATGATACGAATTGGTTATCCACAAGAATATATTTACGTTATTATTATCACCAAACGAAATAAAGAAATGGGCATGGAGCATGGATATGATCCACTATTGAATTGAATAACTATCTGTTTATTGTTGAAGTTCAGGTAGGTTTTCTTGATAATTGTCTTGAATCTTAAAGACAAAATAAAAGAAATGGTCCGAGAGCAGGCATGCATGATATCTACCGAATGATAAGAGTATGTCCAAAGGATGTATTAGAGATGATACCTATAACGCATATAAAGCCAAACAAACAGCTGCAGACAATTCCTTTTGAATTAAAAATAAGACATTTGAACAAGTCATTGTATATAAAAATACATTGTTAAATGGTACGAGGAAGAAATTCCATACACGCTTTTATATTTTTATCTCGGAGTTCTGTCTATTAACACAAACGAAAAAGGAGGATCTCAATAGTGACCGACTCATAGATGTTTTTAACATGTCTCAACACGGACTTGGTCTACCGAACATTTGATACCATGCCGCCCAAAACTTGTTCAATGTCTTTAATTTGTTCTTTCTTTCTATAAATACCCACTTTGTCTAATTCCACTTCATAGAGATACACAGGTTATCAGAAATATATTGTAGTTAAAAGATCTAAAATGGCTACTAACAAGTGGAGTATCATCTTCCTCATAGCAATCGTAGCAGCTCTAGCTACTTCAGTTTCAGCCAAGGTGTTTATTGTTGGTGACCACAAAGGTTGGACTCTCAACTTCGATTATCAAGCTTGGGCCAATGGCAAGAAGTTCGTTGTTGGCGATAAACTTGGTATGTGTCTATTATAGGGAGCCTTAATGACTTGTGTGTTTTTTTTTTCTTGATATATATATTGACGGTTGTATCTGAATCATCTTCTATATTTATTTCTGGATGTAGTTTTCCAATATGCCGCTGGAAAACACAATGTCTTCCGAGTCAATGGAACTGTCTTCCAACAGTGCATGATTCCTCCTGCTATTGAAGCTTTGACCAGTGGATACGATGTGATAACGCTAGCAACCCCAGGAAGAAAATGGTACATCTGTGGTGTTGGAAAGCACTGTGAGTTGGGTGGTATGAAGCTTTTCATCAATGTTCTCCCTCAATCAATGCCTCCAGTTCCTTCGGTTTCTCCTCCTCCTTCRGGCAAGGTGTTTGTGGTTGGAGATGATAAAGGCTGGACCTTGAACTTTGATTACCAAGCTTGGGCCACTGGAAAGGAATTCGTTGTGGGAGACAGACTTGGTATATGTTATGTTCTTATAAGCTAATATTGCAATTACTGTAAGCATTCAATTCTATGTTTTGAAGAAGATCTAACTGATTAAACATTATTGATACAGCCTTCAGATATCCAATGGGAAAACATAATGTCTTCGGAGTAAATGGAACTTCATTTCAGCAATGTACCATCCCTTCTTCGAATGAAGCTCGAACCAGTGGATATGACGTGATCACCCTAGCGACCCCAGGAAGGAAATGGTATATCTGCGGTGTCGGAAAGCATTGTGAGATGGGCATGAAGCTTTTCATCAACGTAGTCCCTCAATCAGCATATGCATATCCACCTCCTCCATACCATAGAACAAGAAAGCTCGCACCACCAAAATTCTAGGCTTCAAAAATTGCCTTCTCTCGTGCTGTTAACAGTGATACGGTGTTTTTTGTTTCACTCTCGTGATAATTATAATATTTATCATCCATATATCTTTCTTCAGTGTGAGTTTCTTGTTGTATCTATTGGTTGGAAATTTGGTGCCTTATGATGCTAGCTCTTTTTGTTAGTATTGAAGCCCATTCCTAGCGAATTCATTGTTATTTAGTTATATTATTATAATCTAAGATGTTCTTTTTATCTATTTTGGTTTTGATCATATAACAAACTGATTTTTGTTGCTTAAAACAAAAAGCTGGAAGAAAACCAAATATCTGTCTGATCAACAAGCTGAGCCTTACAGTGTGTGTTATATTCTTCATAGCAGAAATCTTGATTCCATTCACAATCACATTTTCCTTTTTGTGGTTTATATACCTTTCCACACAAGTTGATTGTTGATAAGAATCGTATGCTTCTAACTTCGATGACGTGATAAAAGAGATAAAGACTTGTCCTGACCATTTATTTGTTTAGCATATCAGAGAATTCAGTAACTGCATGCATGAAGATGAATACATAAAAAGCGTTGTAGTTTCCCTCTATCAACTTTTTTCCCTACCAAAAACGACAGCCCCATTTGATGTGTTATGTTTAACTTGTATTATGTGCCCCGACAATCAATATTCGTACCTTGTTGAATGTATGATGAATATAGCAGATGGAATATACACCGCAGTGTAGGTGTATGGCCAATGGTTTGGAGGCAGCAGGATGCTCAAGAACTGGTGTTTGCCATAGGCTAGCTTCACCGCAGGGATGATCAAGAAACCACAAGTTGCTCTTTGGTCTTCCATAAATAATTAAGCCCAAATATAACCTAACCATTTTTTATGACCACTCAAGAGGATTGTTGACTGATTTCAAACATCATAATGTTTTGATCATTATAAAAGAATTTATCCATATGTGCAAATTCATTTTGAAAACGAATATAAAAATCACCAGATATGATGGGTCAGAATTTATGATAATTCCATCTAATCTTTGTGTATAAAGGCATAATTTTTATCTTGTGGTCAACATCAACCTGCAAATATCTAACCTGTTAAGTCATGCATGGTCAAAGCTCATAAATCTATTCAAAATGGAGAATATGTAGGAGAGAGAAGAAACTGGAATCGACATCTGAGTATGAATCGTTTCTTGGTAGGCGATGCATTTTTTTGGGAACGGCAATAGCGTCTAGTGTAGGAAGGAGGAAAGGCAACTGAATCAACGTGTTGTACTTTGTGCATAAATGCTTGAAATTAAGAAGTTTTTTGAAAAAAAAAAACATGCTTAAAAATGCAATACTTTGTCTTCGTATGTTGTTTTTAAGACTTTTATGAAAAAGTAGTGTATGTATATCTAAATCTCTTACATAAATAAGACAATTAATATCTTTTATATAATAAGACAATTTGGTGAGAATTGATGCTCATTTTGAGGTGTATATATGTCAACCAAAAACTAAGCTAATGGATTTGGTTTGCCAAAAATAGATATGGTGGAACAAATGGAGGGTTTGAGAAATTCATATTTAAATTAAACGTGGCCGTTTTTATGGGCGGTAATTAATTTAGGGTTTTGTGGGAGGCCACGGATACACATGCTAGGGAACGCCAATGGAGGAGATAAATGGCAAAACCGACTGCCATTTAAATTGGGGTTTTCCTCAAACATAAAACAGAAACGAGAATCTGAGAGAAAAGGGCGATCGGTGTTCGAAATCAATAATAGATAACGACGACGTGATGTAAGAATTTCTATAATTCTCGGTTCAATATTACACTAGTGATTTGAGATGTGCATACGTGTTTATTAAGTCGATTAGTTGATAGAATAATGGATGATCTTTTCGATTCAAAATGGAGACCATATGACATACAGCTAAAACCAATAATGCTCGGAGTCATAACAATTTGATAACATGAAACAAGGGGTTGTATGTTGCCATGCATCGGCATGGCCCAGAGTCAATTGGGTGCGTATGATCCTGGTTTTGAAAAGGGCACCACCGGGAGCGTATGACATACTTTCGATCTTGGGTAGAAACGGAAACAGACATGGATGGTTTGTTTAACGAAGAAACCTTTGTTTGGGTCATCTGCATGCCATGTTCACACATGTGTAAACTACAAAATCGAACACTTTTATTGACGGAACAATACGCCGGTAGTTCGTGCCGTTGATAAAAGCCATCACCCACGTATTGAATCAGACCGAGGACTTGATATGAAGCCAAACAAACAGCTTCCGACGAATTCTTTTTGATTTGAAAATAAGACATTTGAATGTCAATGTGCATAGAGATACGTTGTTAATTCTTATGAGGAAGAAATTCCAAACATGCTTATATATTTTTGTCTTGGAGTTGTCTTTCAAAAACATGTCTTTGGCACATTTCATGACTTGGTCCACCAAACACTTAGATACCATGCGGTCAAAAACTTGTTCAATGTTTTTTTAACTATTTCTTTCTTTCTATAAATACCCACTTTAATTAATTATCTAAATTCCACTTCACAGATATACACAGATAACCAGAAAACCAGAAGCATATTGTAGTTATAAGAGAATCAAAAATGGCTACTAACAAGTGGAGCATCATCTTCCTCTTAGCAATGATAGCATCTCTAGCTACTTCAGTTCTAGCTACTTCAATTGCAGGCAAGTCGTTTATTGTTGGTGACGACAAAGGTTGGACTCTCAACGTCGATTATCAAGCTTGGGCCAATGGCAAGAAATTCTGTGTTGGCGATGAACTTGGTATGTGTCTTATTATACAGTGAACTTTTTTTGCTTGATGGATATATATTGAAGGTTGTATCTGAATCTTGTCTATTTTGTGGATGTAGTTTTCAAATATCCCGTTGGAAAACACAATGTTCTCTCAGTCAATGAAACTAGCTTCCAAAAGTGCATAATTTCTCCTACTAGTGAACCTTTGTCCACTGGAGAAGATCTGATAACCCTAGATACCCCAGGAAAAAAATTCTTCATCTGCGCCATTGGAAAGCACTGTGAGTTGGGTGGTCTAAAGCTTTGCATCGATGTTCTCCCTCAATCAAAGCCTCCAGGTCCTCCGGCTACGGGCAAGGAGATTATGGTTGGAGATGATAAAGGCTGGACCAAGAACTTCGATTACCAAGCTTGGGCTAATGGAAAGGAAGTCTGTGTGGGAGACAAACTTGGTATATATATATATATACACACACACACACACATGTATATATATATATATATATATATATATATATAACCCGATATTGCAATAACTGTATGTATGTATAGTAAGCACTCAATTCTATATGCTTTGAAGCAAATCGGTAACTAGTTAAACATGATTGATGCAGTGTTCATATACCCACCAGGAAAACATAATGTCCTTATAGTAAATGAAACTGCGGTTCAGCAATGTATCATCCCTCCTCCTGATGCTAATCAAGCTCTAATCAGTGGATATGACATCGTCACCGTAGAAACCCCAGGAAAGGAATGTTTTATCTGCGGTATTGGAAAGCATTGTGAACTGGGCATGAAGCTTTGCGTTAACGTACACCCTGCACCAGTTCCGGCTAGTCCATTGTTACAAGGAACCAGAAAACTCGCCACCACCAAAAATCTAGGCTCCAAATGAGAATTGCCTTGGAATTGTTACTGTATATATATCTATCATTCATGTATCTTTCTTCTGTATCTATTGGCTGGAGCTGATTTGGTTCCATGTATATATATATATATATATAGTATGAATTAAGGACCATTCCTAGCTAGTATTCTGTAAAATATTATACTCTTACATTACTCTATTTCCATTATTTTAACATGCTTGATTACATTGTAATCTTAAGCTAGTTTTTGTTTGCTTAACACACTCTATAAATTAAATCAAACGACTTAGTTTCAACTTAATTTAACTTAATGTCTCAAAAGATAAAAAGTCAGATAAAAAACTTTGATTTCCTTAAAAGTAGGTGGTCCTTTCTTCATAAAGCCTAATTCCCTCTGGCTAGATACTTGTTGGGGAAAAAAATACAGTATGAGTTGAATGTCCAGTACAGATTAAGATTACAAGATAAGCAAAGCAAAACATAGTCACCAGATCATGTCCAATTGACGAGGAAGATAGAATTTCAAAGTTCTCCATATAGAATCACCACCAGACTCCGGGTAATCAAATAATATCAAGTTGAAAAAACAAAGGGTTGGTTTATACATATTGAGCCTACAAGGAGAAAAATCATAATATAGGATCCACACAAATTATAATACAATGGATTCGCGACTCTAATGTATCCAAAATCAATGGCATGTATAACACTACATCGCACGTTAATAACAAACAAAGCTCCAAAATCATAGGGCCGACCCAATATCTCATGAATAAAAATCACATGTCACACCAAGGCCAGCTCTTATCAAAGCACAAAAATTGGAAGACGTCGTGGACTAATCACGCTGCCACGGATAGTGTCACGCCATAATAGCATGCTTGTATTATCCCTACAACCGGTTAATTTGGTATTCTTACTCTCTAAAGTATCTAATAAGAGTTCTATGTGTGCACGGATGAATATAAACCAACCTCACCATGCATCAAGATTTTTATTAAATCAGAAGGCCAAAAACGTATTTCATCACATAATTGATTAACAAAGCAAATCAAAACAAGGCTCTTAAATGTCAAGGTTTCAAACAACAAGAAGCTTATTACATGAAATATGTAAATAAAATCCTTAATCGATATTGAAACTACTAAATTTTCAGAATATAATTGTTCAAGGACTTCTACAAATTAAGACATTAAAGCTTTCAAACGGTTTGTATTTATTAGATATCAAGCAATCAAGTTTTTTCATTAAGATGTGGTCTTGAAGAAACGAGAGTTGAGTGGTGTTCTAGCCATATGCAAATAAACAGTAGACACATGATGCAGTTCTTCACCATAAAGAACGATCTAGGATTTGCTAATTTTCTTGATCCTCTCTGAAGATGTTCTACAAATTGGGCAATGACATCGATCATTAATGGTGTGCATGTTGAGATTCTAAGAACCTTAAAAGACGTTTATATAAGCCCAAAAATCAATAGTAGGATCATGCAAGTATATAAGCTCTTTGTGTTGTCATCCTTGTACATATAACAAGTAGTCAAAGTGTAAGAAACAAGTATTATATTCCATAATAATAATTAAATCAAATCGTCTAAAACATTGAGTCGATCTATCACATATACATGCATGTACGTATACTATTGAATATTGATCTTACGTCACTGTATTTTTTTGCCTTTAATACACCTTTTTTAAACCATGAGTTTTCGGGTCAGTTTATGTGCACCGGTTAATCTTTCGATCGATCATGAATGACCTGGAATTATCACAGGTGAATCTCCATGACTATAAGAGTTTTGACAACATCTGTATTTGAACCTGATCAGGTATATGAGATTTCTCACTACATTCCCTAAAGCTTTTGATATAATTATTGAGTGATTAACATCTGGAAACAAGTTATTGTAAATCTTTTATATTGTTTGAAATATTTCTTTTCTTCTTAACTCCTTTTTTATATCATGAAACCAAACTAGCTATAGTTGATTGGGTCCATTTTTGGCATGAGAATGATATCCGTCTCATTGGAGATTCCAATGTTTCCGTCCCGATAGAGAAGGGGATTCCCTGCAAACCAAGGATCGGGGATGGGGACCGGGTAACGTGATTCTCGCTCCATCAATCCTTGTATATTAAGTATATTATATATCTATTATTAAATACTAGAAGAGTACTCGCACAATGCAGCGAGATACATCTTGATTTTAACATTGTCATAATACGGTTTTATGTTTGTCCCATGTCGATGTCATAATATGGTTTTATGTGGTTTTAAGAAATTGATAATGTTTTTATTTTTGAATATATATATATATATATATATATATCAATATTAGTATTAAATTAACTATTTAAAAGTTTTTTTTAATTTCTTTAATTCAGTTTTTTCATTATAATTTAATTTAGGTTTAATAACGAAGTAATTTATTTTTAATTTAATAATATAATTTTTTATAAAGATAATAATTAAATATTATGTTAGAACACAGTGATTATCCTAATTATATTTTAAGTTTTTTATATTTAAAATGAAATGTTTATGTTGTATTTGATTATGTTTATCTGCAGTTAGTTACACAAATTCAARCATAAAGCTTTAATAAGTTGTATTTATGCATAATTTACTTGTAATCATGAATTTTAAGTAAAATGCATCAATAAACAGTACTTCATGTATAAAAAATGGGTTTTAAAAACTTTTGTCAAATGTTTTATAATATAGTATAGATATATTATTATAAAAAATTAGATTTAGTATCTTTTAAATTTAAAAATAGTATTTTTGATATTTCTTCTTAATTATATATATATATATATATATATATATATATATATATATATTCCAACTCATTTTACTTTCTTTTACATAAGAACATGGAGAACCGAATGCATTTAATCAAACAATTACGTTGTTAACATATAAATATATGATACACGATAACAGCAAAATTATGGAATCGTGTGATATTTAAACATAGACCATTTTAAATCGAATATGATGTTTAACACATTTAATTTAAAATATCTCATATAAACAAGAAAACAATTCCCCAAGTCCCGGGCCATTAAGATTCTCCGTTCTTGTTGGAGACTGGAATGGAGATATAATCATATATATATATATATATATATATATATATATATACATCCCCTAACAAAGACGAAGATTAAGGATCCGGAGATTGAGGTTCCGATGCCTAATCAATTTGACTTTGAGTGGGCCTTACAAATTACTTGAATTCATAAAAAGGAAAACCAATTGAAAAATGAAATCCTAAGTAATAAGGAATGAAAACAATTTACTGAAATTAGGGAAGATGTGACTTTTGTTCGGATTAGTTAAGGGAAAAATAAAATAAAATTAATTAAATTGGGTTGTCCATTCACGTTTAATTACTTTACAATTATTTAAACCACCCTTCAATTTAATAATACTCAATCATCTTTGGTGTCATACGACAAAGAATTGAAGAAAAGGTGTAATTTTATTAAATGTAATATTAAATATTTCATATATGTATGTAATTATTGCTCATTAAGAATAATAAAATGATTTTTCATTTGTTTTTTTCACACCTCATCAAGTCATGTGATAAAAATAATCGATAATTTAATTGATTATATCAACAAGAATGTTTAATTAGGTCAGTACCAAAATATAAATATGAATTAAACAATTATTTTCCGTAATATTTTTGTAAAATATAATTGATTTGGATTTAACAAAAAGAACAGTTATTTGTAATAAAAAGCAAATCTAAAATATATAGTTTAATTAGAAGTTTCATGTAAATGATTTATTAATTGTTAAAACCATAATTCATTCGTTGATTCTTCAACATCAGTCGATTCGTAACTCGAGTGGTTCTTTTTCTTTCTATCTTCTTATTGTAAAACTCGTCATCACCAAAAAATTAAAAAAGAATCAAAGTGATTCAAACTTACGACATGTAATAATATTCCTAGTAGACTGTAACATTTTTTTATTGACTCTAAGGTATCTCCAACTCAACCTAAAAATACTAAAACTGAGGTGTTTTTTCTTCCAACTCACCACTAAAACACTAAAAATTAAGGTCACAAACCATGACCTTCATATTCGGAGGTCAAAAAAGTTGACCTCTATATATATAAGATATTCATATTTTATTCAGCTTTTATAATTATATATAGGCGAAAGATCGTGTGAGAAATATAAGAAGAGATCTGAACTCTTGATCATCATTAATAATCTCAAACTCACTCATAAATCGCGTTTAATCTAGGGATTAATTCTGTACATTTCGGCACATCTCATCTTAATGTGCATTCAATAGTGGAGATCCCTTCTTATGTTTCTTACTTTAACACTCCTCACCGAAACCCAATCTTATATTAAGTAATATTTTCTATTAAGTATAATATATATATATATATATATATATATATATATATAAAGTAATATTTTCTATTAAGATTATAATTTAGTTATTTTGTGTTTATAAATAATAAATGATATTTAAACAATTTCATTTTTTAATTAAAAAATAAAAACTAGTAAAAACAAAAATGTGAATAATTTTGTTACAATTTTGATCCACAAAACTTAAACATATATAAATAACAAATATATTCAATCATAAAATGTTTAACAAAATAAATTTATTTGGAAAAAATTATAAAAGAAACATAATATTGGCTACAAGTTTATGTCAAAAAAAAATATATAAAACCGAGTTCAATAATATAGATTAAGTGATAATTAGTTATTGGTATAAAAAGTAATTATATATTGTAATTATTATGCATTAATAAAATAGTATAATAATAAATAAATATATTATTATTTTATGATTATTATTATTATATTAAGAGTAAAGTTCACTTTTGATCTCTTAACAAATTTGTCCCTCATTTTTGATATCTAGCAACTATTTTTCCATTCCTCCTCGTAATATCGTTAACTTTTTCCGTTAAATCCAAGTAAATGAGGGTATTTTAGTCAATTTACCAATTTTCTACCCCCTCCTGTTTGATTTTTCGGCAAACCACCATCCTTCCCCAAGTTTGGCCCGGCCTCATCCACTAGATTTGGAAGTTGACGAAAAAGATGAGAATAATTGGAGTTTGATTTTTTTTTAATATTCAATAAACCTATTAAATGATTGTGTTGGAGATAAAAACACATATTAAATTAAAACAGATCTATGTTTAAAATTCCTGATAATTTTTACATTACAACAAGACGATAGAGTTATTTATAGCAACAATTATATACATGTACATAACTTTAACCTTGAATATTCCGAAAAAATAATACGTTATAAATCCAATAAAATATAAATAAAAAAAAGGTTTGCAATTCTCGTATCAAGTCATCCACAAACATTGAAATAGAAGAAACCATGATACAAACAAATGTTTAGATATTTTTTTGGTGAAATAAATTTAAAAAAGAAAAAGAAAATCTATTACAGATAAATCAAAATGAATTGATATTATTTAGGGGTCGTTTATCAAATGTTTATTTAAAACGCTTACGAAGTAATATTACCTTATCGGATGAATATGGTAAGAAATAAGAATTTTAATTGCTAATTAGCAAATATGTAAATTTGTATTTTAATATAATGTAAGAGGAGAAAGTATATAGGATTCAGTTTAGTTTGGTTGGTTTGGTTGGATATTATTTTTAGGAAAAGCCAACTAACCCAATAAATTGGATCTTGAGACAGTGAGAGAAGTAAAGGATTGGGCAACTACTACCATAACTTAAAAGCAAAGAAGGGCATGTCTCCATGTGCTCACAAGCTCAGGGAGGGTAGGGGCCATCTATTTTTTGCCTATTCATCTTACCTCACAAACCAATACCTTATACAACTTGCATATAATTATACTACAGCATTTCTTCCTAAACTTACCTGCCTACAACCATTGCAATCTCATGACACTTTCTAAGTACACACACATATACATATACATATATATATATATATGGTAAAACTCACGCACGTATCGCTTTTGATAAAGCTTGAACCCTTGATGACCCTTTGGCATCATATGCAAATTATGAACAAACCATCTCTCTTCAATCCATATTCAGCTGCCTTAAACCTTTCCCACAAACAAGTAGAATATAAACCCATGTCGTATTCACAACTGCTGTAGCTATCCGTGGCAGCAGTAAGTTGGTGGTTGACTCGCGGCTTCAAATGCACATTCGAAGGTCGGGTGGTACTCTTGTTGATGAATCTAGAAGGAAAACTCATGAGGAGGATATCCGGCAACTAGTATACAATAATTTCAGACCTAAAAGATTGTTCCAAAGCTGACTATATCTAAACATCACCTGCAACTACCACATCTGGCCTTTGTTTTCTGGATATGCATATAATACCAAACATTTCCATCTCATTGCATCCAAGATTTTTATGAAGAACGGATGGGATAAAACTACTCTCATTTCCAACCACTTGGTACTAAGCCCATATTAGGATCATGAAAATGACTCCATCTCATTCTTTTTCATCTACATTTATGCCCTTTTCAAAGCTCTAACCCTATTCAATATGTGTTTTTTAACAATATAAAAGCATGGTCATGTTCTAGCCCATATTTGACACACAGATACAATGAACAAATGATAACCATCATCAGTGGACGAGGAATAGTGGCATTAAGCATCCACCATTCCAAGGCTGAGACTCTGTTTGCCACAAGTCACAAACCACACATGCACCACCGAAATTGCAAAAAGACATGTTTAGGGAATCAATGTAGCATTCCATACTTTTGTGGGTCCCATCTTAATTCCTACTCGTATCAAGTAGACCCACAATCACATCTTGATTTTACAATGCGTGCAGACTTTGAAATGTTAAATTCCCAAACTGCATAAGACCTAGACCAATTTGAGAGTTTTTTATCAAGGCATTGAGCAAGGTCCCTACAGAAACTGCATACCAATTTAGTCCAAATTATAAAAGAAAATGTCTTTTCAAAATTTGAAGAAACACACAATAAAAACCATTATTGTAAACAACACTATAAACTAATGGTAAACTTAGTTTCCAAGCAAAAATTCTGTTTCTCCTAACAGCCAAATGTATTGTGCTGTTATATTCTTACATAATGATTACAAGTAAACTTGAATTGGAACACACCCAATACAGCAAGCATTCAGAAAGAAGCTGCTAATTATACACAAAGACAGCAAATCCTTGTCAAGAAAGATAAAGATACTGAATCACACAAGTAATTGGATTAGATGGGAAAACAGACAATTAGGTTACCAAATCAAGTTAAGTGATTGGTCTTTTAGAGTTAACAACAACAATATCATATAACTTGAAGAATTTATCATGTAATTCGTATTACAAACAGAAGGCGGAGAGGAGAATGTTTTTTCTCCCCCACTTGAACACGCCCCAAATCAAGAACAACTATGCAATAAAGCAGAAATTTGAAAAAGAAACAGAAACAAAACACAACCCCCTTTTCCCTTTCCAGATTCAATTGATCATATCTTCCAATTGAATCGAATTGTGTTCTGTTCATTGCTTTTTCTTTATCCCAAATTCTCTATAGGCCTTTTCTTATATTGTAACAAATTGGAATCTTAATGGCATCAGATGAAGAACAAAAGAACAGAGAACTCGCACCAGTGTGTTTGTTTTCTTTTTGGCTGTCAATGAGCTGTAGTTTTAGACCTCTTCTTTGCCTCGCTGTAAAGCACCACTCCCATTATCGTCACGGCGAACCCTGAAATCCCCATGACCGTCACCGGATTCTTAAAAATCAATACAGACACAACCGCTGCAACAGCGGCTTTGGCGTTCCCTAGCACCTGCAACGTCAGGGCACTCGTATGTTTGGTGACCAAAAAATTGGTCAAATTCACCAAATACGCCACCGTAGCATTTCCGATCAACAGAAACACCATAAACGAATCATTCCTCCCTTTATCCAAAGTCTTTGCGAATACGTTCCCTTCTATATACAAAGTGAAAGGCAATAATATCGTGGCTGCCATTGGCGCCATATACAACAATAGATTCATTGAATGTAGTTTCTCCGAATCTGAAGTTAACAACAACCCTTGCACCACAGATTTCAAAGCTCTGCCGGCGGTCGAGCCCACACACATCAAAAAACCAAACAAATGAAACAACGGCTCGCTATTACTCGCCAAAACGATACCGAACACAACAGGCATTAACGCTAAGTAAACCTCTGCAGACTCCTTCTTACAAGTAATCAGGAAAGCAAAGATGGCCGTGAAAAACGGCGTAGTGGCGCCAATAGCTTGATTAAACGAAACAGGCAGGTATCTCAATGACGTATTTCCACAAACAACCGAAAAGCAAAAAATTGCGGATAATGCAAAGATCTTCAGAAACTGTTTTCGCGATAAAATCTGTTGGAACGGCACGATTTGGAACCAACGAATTGCGATGAGACTGTAGAAAGTACATGAGATCATGTGAAGCATTGTGAGGAAGATCGGATATTTATAGCCGTAGAAGCTAAGGAGGTACTTGTTAAGAAGGAGAACACCGATATTGGAAAAGTACCATGAAGCGATGATCAGTGCAGTGAGTATGGTCGGAGAGACGAATGATGTGGCGGAGAAGGAAGCGAAGATGTTATTAGTGGTGCCGTACCGAACTTCTCCCGTGGGCGTAGAGGGGATGTCAACGGAGGTCTCGAGCCTAGGGTTGCTGCTCCGGCGTGTTGTCCATGACTGTGCCTCCACCATGGGGGCAATATCGGAATTTAGACACAGTGTTTGTGTTTGTGTTTGTGTCTGTGTCTGTGTGTGTGAGAGAGAAAAAGAGACACTGCGTGTGACTCCGGCTTTGGATTGGATCCAGGAAATGTAAGCGTGCGAAGGTGACTATGATAAGACTGATAGAGTTTCAAAACATCCCCTGAAGTTTAGATTTATTACAACTTACATCCCTGAATTTCTTATTTATATCAACTCTACCTCTTTTGTTTTAATTCTCATTGAAGTCATCTTAAAATAATATTTTTCTAGCAAATGAAAAGAAATACTTTATTGTTTCTTTATTAATTTATACATATAAATTAATTCAAATAAATAATTTATTAATACATGATTTAACGAAAAATTAAAAAAACAATTTCATAATATAAAAAAGTTAAATATGCTTGAAATGTAATGTGAACATTTAAGTGCAAAGATCGCGATAGATGGGGGACCTAATAGGGAGATTTAAATATGGATTTGATCGGAGGGACAGGAATTAGGAGAGAAGATAAGAAGACAATGTGAGGCGTTGGATGAAGCGAAATAATTATTAGATCTAGGCTCGTAAGTGAAAGTGTCGGTATTTGAAGAAATAAAACTCTGAGTTTATTCGGTCAGCGTTCAGACTCTGACTCCATAAATGTTTTTCTATTCATTTTTTGTGTACCTTGAAACCCATTTATTTATCTTTAATCAATGACTTGGTGGAAAATTCAGCACGTGATCTGCACACGTGAGAGTGACCTGAACTTGAAGAATGGATTTCTACTCAAATCTTGAATGTAAAACAAACACAAAAATGTTCATAAATAAAAAAAGATAAACAGACATATAATTTTAAAAATAATACTTAAAATGAACATTTATTTTACATAAAAGGTTTTAGATATTTTATAATTATTATAAATAAAACCATAAGTTATAAATTGTTAGTATTGTTTAGTTTTAAATCTATGATATCAATTAAAAAAATTATCTTAAATTAGATTAAATATCGTATTATCTCATTTTTTTTAATAAATGATACAAGTATTTATATCATTTTAAACTTTAATGAAATTATAAAACCGGCTTTTGGTGCTCTTCATTTTACAAATATGTGATGATTTCTATTTCACAAGTGAGAACTGAGTTTCCACTCTTAATGAGGTCCTTAACGTTACTATCTTTTGAAAAAAATATGTTTATATTTTTAACGGCAAAAATTCCTTAACGTATGTTGATCTTTCCATCATGATAAGATGGATTTCAATAGCTTGGTGTGTGTGATGGTTATTCAGATACATCTCTTGAAAACTTATGTCAATTTTGTAGGTACAACGAGATCGAGTTTGATATCTGAATATTGAACCTCCTCGTCTGCAATGTCATTCCCTAGTTCATGGAAGTATAGTAACCTAGGCCAAACGATTCTTCTCGTGTGATAGTCATACAACATAAATCGATCGATTTGTAAGAATTATGAAACGGAAACAACAAGATCATTCAACTCCAAATGATCGTCCCTTAAGACATAATATGTTTGGGAAGTCTTCATGAAGGAGATCTTTACAAAAACTAAATATATTGCAATCCTCTCTTTTCTCTTTTCTCTCTCTTCACGATTGCGTGATGGAGTTTATACATACCAATGTCGGTTATGATGAATCTCAATAGATTGTTGATTTTCAATTTCTCTATGGTTCATTGTTCCTAGCTCTTGATGGTCTCGACGGATTGGATGGGTCTTGATAGCTACCGGCAACGACGACGTTATTACACTTATGTGTTTGACCACTTTCTGAAGACCCGTTGAAAAAAATAAAGATTTCCTGAAAAAAAAACAAGAAAGACATAAATAAGTCCAAAAAAACTCCTTCAAATTCGTACTTCTTTTATGTTTTGTTGAAGAACAATCAAGAAAAGGAGAAACTTAGAGTTCCATTTTCTTTTTTTCTTTTATGTTCAATCTCAAAATAGTAAAACACCTTTCCCGATATGCTTGATGGGTTGCTTGTTCTGGTTGATGTGTTGCTCAATCTGCTTGATGGAGCTTGGTGCTCGGTCTGCTTAATAGGATCATCAAACTCAATGTAATTGACGTGCTCAGTGTATCTCATCAAGGGCTTGAGGAAACTGGAAACTCCTCGTTTATTTTAAAGTTAAGAAAAACTCTTCTTTTAAATATTTTGAAAAACTCAAAAAGTTATGGGTTTTTTGGATCATTTTTTATTTATTACTCTAGAATTCTTGTTACAAATGAGTAAAGGGATGTTCATCAAATATTTGTCTGAGTAAGTGCTTATTTTTAAGAGTAATCACATTCCTTTACCTTAATGGGTAATGTTTTCATCTATCAAAATAATATAGTTACAATAATCTTACCTTACCGGATAAGAATTCTTGTGTAGGTTTAGTTTTTTTTAAGCATTTTGGTATGAATGATTTCTTTGGATCCCTTGGGCTAACAAACAAAAGATAATTTTTTGTTGTCCATTCAACATCTACATCTACCTCTACCTCTTCCTTTCACTTTCATCATTTATTCATAAATATATATAGGGTTGGATTCACGTGAGACAAACATATTTCGTGAGACCCGTGAAACCATTTTTTACATTTGAAACTTCATAGTAAAACGTTGCGAATATAAAAAACAATCGAACATTCGCAACAAAAACATTATGAATGTTACCTTCCCAGTGTTTTATTGTAAAGTTTCAAGTGTAAAAAAATGGTCTCACGGGTCTTACAAAAATAGAAAGAGAACAAAACTAAATACCGCTCATTTGGGACCATGTTTGCAAGGTCGAGCCACGCGGTCCTTGATGGTCCATTCCTCCCTTGAAACGAGACAATTCGGTTGGATTGTACGAAAAAATCTTATAAATGATTCATTGCAAAAAAATAATAACAGATTAAATAACATGTCTCTCTCAAACGAAAATTCTGTTAGATTTGGTGTCTAAACGTGTTAAATCCCTAAAAATATACCTAAAAATTATTTTTATATAATTTTTATATTTTGGTTAATTTATATAATTTATTAAATATTAATAATAATAAAATAATATAAAAAATATATGAAATAAAAATTAGAAACTGCATAAACTTTCTTATTTTAGTGTCATTCTAATCATCTTGATGAAAACTTTTTAATGAAACATTTTATTATAAAAATATTTATTTTATTATAATTTAATAAATTACATAAATTAATCAAAAAATATAAATAAATCGTTAAAGTTAAGTTGATCATTTTATCTGTTATATCTTGTTGAAACTATATTACCAAATATTAAACAACTCTCAATGCCCTAAAATGTTTTGAGGGCGCATAATATTTTTTTCCCCCTTCTCACTTGGCTTTCCCACCCTTCCCGCAAAAAAGGTCTCAAGAATACAGTAAAATGCCGAGAAGCAACCGACATAAATCATCAAAAATATCTCAACATGTGGATCATAATGGAAGTTAAATGCACTAAAAGATGATATAATCATGCAAATTGTCGAATTTTTATGAGGAAAAAAGGTAACGAAACGATTTAATACCCGAATAATCAGATCAATCTTCCTTTTCCAACATCGAACCTTTGGATTTCAACGTGAAATGGATCTAAATCCAGGAATACAAGCTGTTACAATCACAGATTTTTATGGCTTGCGTCGATGGCGGTGGCAGCAATGGCGTCAGCTTCCACATCCTTTCTTGAACGGCTACGACCACGGTGCAAATGCCTTTCGCAGTACTTATGACCGATTACAACTTCTTTGCCACACCGCCATTTCTTACCATCGGTTCTCTTACATCTTCCTGGTTCAGCCTCCATGCTGTTCTTATAGTTATCATACAAACTCCGATCGCATCCTGAGCCTGAAGAATTCACATAAATCCTTAATTACATACTTTGAAATTGTTCATAGATTCTGAAATTGAGAGATCGAGAAGAATTTAAAGAGGAAATTGTATGACCTGATAGAGAAGTGAGAACAGAGTTCCAAATTGGGAGGATAAGATGAGAAGGAACAGGCAATCCAGCTTCCACGTATTTGTAGATTAGGGCTTGTAATTTGAGCTCCTCCATCTGCATAAAGGTGAACCCTAGGCCTCCATTCCTGCTAATAACACTCATATAATTCGAATTTTGAAGCAGGAAGGATGATGAATCTGTAGAAGAAGCCGAGCCTTCAACACCATTCATTACTAAACCCACAACTGCCTCCATTCCTATTGAGTTGATGATATATAGAGCAAATACTCTCATTGCTTTCAAATATTATTTTGTATATTTATTTTAAATCAATTTTTATTTAATATAAAGAAAATAATATCAATAATGTTTATATTATATGTTAGAATATGTTTGGTACATAAGACATGACAGATCGGGACAAAAACTTGTTGTTCTTCATTTGATGCGATATGAGACAGGGACAAGGACTGCATCAAAATAGGATTAAAAAAATATTTTTTCTTGTTCCACCAAAATGGATGCAACAAAATGGGACAAATGTGAGATAGAAACTAAAAAAATATTAATCTATCCTTATTGTCGTTGTCATCCACCAACGACAGCCATTGTCGGCAACCTCCACTATATACAAGTTCCTCCACCGCCTCCACGACCACCGTCAACACTGACCACTACTATCATCATCGGCACCTCCATCTTCATCTCCACCACCACCTACACCTTATCCACATAGGTCATAACTACCTCTTTCATCATTGTCGGTCGTCACCGCGACCGCCAATGTCAACCATGTTCACATCCTTCATAACCACCGTCGTTCACCCGCCATCACCGCATCTACATCTACCTATTGCTGCAATAACTTTCACCGTGCCTTCACCAATTTATAAGACACTTCCAAACTGAATCAAACATAGTTTCTCCTTTGTATGAGTCGTGTTTTTTTGGAACAACAATCAATTATATCAAATTTTTCATTCAAATTACATACTATTATTCATGTATGTATACGAAAATTGTGTGAAAAAGCTTATAAGTTAAATTATTTAAATATGTACTTTAATTGTGTCATTTGTAGCTATTATATGATATATAAAATCATCAAATAGCTTTTATGAACAACTTATCTGTTCCTGCTCTAGTCACATCAAATGCCAAATAGACAATTTGATATGTTTAGTCTTGTCCTATTCAGTTTAACCCTCTTGTTACTGTCAAGTTCTATCATATCTAGTCTTATCAAATCATGTTTGTGTACCAAACAATATCTTATTGTAGTTAACGATAACGTCAGGGTGGTGTCTGATTGGTTTGAGCTTGGCTCCAAAGGTCAAAAGTGCACAGAGGTCCCAGGTTCAAATCCAAAAAGAAATAAAAACCCCCCTGTGGCCACGAAGGTTCAAATGCAGTGACTCCGGGCTACCTACAAAGCAAGTGGTCATCCTAGGATTAGTTGGCTTGCATAGCGGGTTGGATATCCAGGTTAATAAAAAAAGTGCTAGGGATATTATCAAATAATATATCGTACAAATTGTTCACATTATATGGTTTAAGCTTTTTATAATGCGGTTATAGTTTGCATTTTTGTCAAACCACGTTATACGATCGAAGTTTAGGTTTTGAATTACAAAATCATGATTAAAAATATACCACAAATTAATTTTTATTAGTTAGTTTTTTTTAAAAGCCAACATTATATATATATATATATATATAGAGAGAGAGAGAGAGAGAGAGAAAGAGAGAGAGAGAGAGAGAGAGAGAAAGAGAGAGAGAGATGAGCGATCAAATGCAAAACACTCATATTTGTACAAACTGTGCAAACCACCTTCATATGTCGATTTCATTGTTTAATCTTATGAAATTTTTTCATTAAATTGTTTAATCTTATGAAATYGTTTCATATAATACTTTTTTTGATTAAGTTGTTTTATATATGGTTATGAAATTGTTTCATATAATACTTATGAAATTTTAATGAAACTGTTTCATATATTTTTTTCTAAAATTAATATAATGAAGATGATAATATTCATGATTAACACCCTCCACAATAAAAATGATTAATCAACCTCTCATAATTACAAAAAAAATGAACAAAATGAAAAATTACGATTGGTTGAATGAGGTTTGTACAAATAACGTGGTTTGCAAAGTAAATATCTTCTATATATGTATATATATATATATATATATGTGTGTGTGTGTGTGTGTGTGTAGAAGAGGTTTACTTTGCAAACCATCCATTTCATACAAAACTTACAAACTAATCACACTCATCCATTTTTTTTTTTTGATGAAATGTCAAAATTTAAACAAACTAAATAAGTAAAGTAAAAAAAGAATTCATATTGGAGACACGGAAGGCAAAACAGAGAAAAAACATGTTTTTATGGACCTGTTTCATTACAGCTGTTATACATATGAACCTGATGCAATCATATATGACCTATGAACCTGTTTCATTACAACTGTTATACATATGAACATGTTTCATTGCAAACTGTTACACATACCTATGAATACAAACTTGTTTCATTACAACTATTATACATATGAACATGATGCGATCATATATGACTATGTTTCATTGAATAGTTTGAGTATGTTTCATTGGAAATTACTCTGTTTCATTGATGTTAGTAAGTATCTATTAAAAACTTACCGGTTTCAAGATTATTATAAAAACAAATTGATCGATCATTTCCTAAAAAAACCTCTAATCTAGGTAACAGGCAACGAGAGAAACACAAAAAACGACCACCAGTCCCAAGCCAATATTGTCGAGCAATGAACAACAATATGCAAATCCTAGCCGAGAGGCTTAATCGTCAAGCCCTTGATACCCACACCATTCCATCCATGACATATTGAAGTTATTTGCATGTTTGGAAATCCATTGAGAAGAAAGATGTTTAACATAAAAGACCATAAGACCCGTTGGATTGTTATCACATTAAAAATAAGTATAAGTCCATTCATCTATAACAAAAAGAAGTTACCCCAAATCAGTTAATCAAATCCATTATAAAATACGTATGAAGGTATCTATTTAGGCTTATATAAAATTATGGATTTTGAATAGATTGTCGTAACTCGAAAGTTGGATGAAAAACGAAGTCTGGTTTTTTGTTGTGGGACATTTATTTTTTTCATAAATTTGTCTTAATAGTTTAATTAAATTTTGACATGTCTTTAAATTTTATTAAGCTATGTGTATTGCAACTCTGTATCATATGTTATATTATCAAACTTTTAATTATAAGCATTATCATTCAATTTACCGTACACTTAAATATACATTTGGCATAAAACCACACAAATGCATGTGCTTTGCTGCATTTTTTATGCAGTTTATACATCATACCACAAAAACCCCTAGTCGTTATCATAAAGTTTAATGGGATCTTAAATTCATTGATCAGTTGAGTTCAAAATTTTTAATGTAACTCTTTCTTAAAATAAATATCGAGTCTCCAAATACCATGTTTTATCTTTGCCCCTCAAGCACGTAAATATATATAATTGAAGAAGGAATGTGTACACAACACAAATCAACTAATTGAGTATTAAACGAAAACCAAATTCGTTTTCACTTGATAGATAGGGATAGAGAGGGTTGAAATAGCTATTTTAAACAATTTTCCTAAGAAGGCGTTTGGTTTGATAGAATGGTTTTAAGAAATTTAGATTTTATGGAAAAATTTGGAATCAGATGAATTTGCAAAGATTTGGTTTGTAAAAATTGGAATGAAATTAAATTCCATAATTTATAAAAAATAATAAATAATCATAAAAATAATTAAATTATATTTTTATTAATTGATTATTACAAAAGAATTATTTTAACATATTTTAAATATTATTACATACAAATCCTATGAAATAGCAATCATCCTCGTGAAATTTCAAAATCCTATGTTTATGTAATTTTATTGAAATCCCAAAAGGATAACTAAGGGTACCCAAATACTTACCCAGTAAGCGTTTACCGTAAGAGTCACACACTATAATCTATTTTACCAGATAAGATTGTAGTATATTAAAATGGTATGATATGCAACAATTTACCCGGTAAACGCTTACCCGGGTAAAAGTCCTCACCATCACTTACCGGGTAAGACTCTCTATCCTTATCTATCGCTCTTACCGGGTAAGATATTCGGCCTTTACCATGTGCATCTGGTGAGAAAAGTTACCCGATCAACATTTACCGGGTAAGTGTTTAGTAAACGGCCCCTAAGATTTAAACAATTTGTGTAAAATTGAATACTAATTTTGGAGCCTGAGTGAAGTCTGTACAAAAACTTGGAAATGTCATAAGATCGGGAGGGATATAAAAGCGACGGTGGTAGGGTGGTGGTTGGTTGTGCGATGTCCACGCGACCACCGGTTTTTATGGGATCAGAGACAAAATAATTAGCACATTGAAAAGGCTATAGCGGTGGCGGCCGGTGGCTGCCGGTAGTAAATGGGTCTGGCAGTGGCAGTACTCCTCGTGAAGTATGTGGGTGCACCAGTCTTTGACCCCTCTCCTTATTGTTGTCGTCAGATGGTCACGGTTCAAACGTGACCTAATCAATTATTGCTTACAATTATTATACTTTTGTTACCATTAAATCTTTTCCTGATTATATTTATACGCCTTCAATTCTATTATTACATATGTTTGGATTGTGTTATAAAATTCTTTTTTATAAAATTTTAACGTGAATTTTTGATAACAAAAAAATCATAGCACAACAAACTCAGAATACATAAAGGCTAACGTGTACGTACTTTGACTTATTTTATTGAGGCATAAATTTAGTGTTAGAAAAATCCACATTAAGGAGACTCAAACTAGCGACCTAAATAACAAAGAGTTGAACATTTATCTGTCAGTTGAGCTAAGTTTCGTAAATAACTCAAATCTTGTGATGGAAACAACTTGCAATCGTAATGTTAACTCGCATATTTGAAAATGGAGTATTGGATCCATGCATAGTCGATATAAGATTCAAAATGATAAGTTATGTTGTTGTAATCTTGTAGTATTAAGATCAAACTTTACAATTCTTTTTAATTTAAAGCACAACAAAATGCATAAATGATCATAAACAATGGTCGAATTTATATTCTAAACAGCCATACAATAACTCAAATTTTCATTGGTTAAAACTAGGGATGTAGTGAAAATCTCAATTTTTTTTCTTTCGGGTTCGAATATAGGTGTTGTGAAAAACCTTTGTAGTCATGTAGGTTCACCTATGATAACGTGAGACCATTTGTAGTAGCCAAAAAAATGAGTTGATAAACATAAATGGCTGTTTACCAAACATTTACCCAGTAAACAATTACCGGTAAAATTCAACATTATCAGTTACTTATTGGGTAAGATTTTTAGTCTACGAATACATCATCGTATGCAACAATTTATCCGGTAAGCACTAATTGTGGTAAGAGTTGTCGTCATCACTTACCGAGTAAGACTCCAGTCATTACATTCACTTTTACCGGGTAAGATTTTTGGTCTAAGTAATGTAATGTGACTTGGTAAGTAATTACTCAGGCAAACGACCTCTAAGTTGTCCTAGAAAAAAACATGGTTACCAAAAAGAATTAATTTTTTTTTCTATTTAGGATAAGGATAATTGGTCAATCACAAAAAACCGATATTGTGTATAGAATGTACATGTTAAAGCATCCACAAAGATTGTATCTAACTCCAACTTCACCGCTATCATAAATCCCTAAAAGTTCTCCTAACAATCTTCTTGCCATCGTTAATTTCAGGTTAGATATGTAAGTACTTCAAATTTTTTGAAAGGGAAAATTGTACATATTAATGAAAAGGTCTACTGAATCATCTAAGCCTAATCCTGCAAAAGGGGAGATTTTATTCGACTCTTAAAACTCCCCCAAGTTCATCCATCAACCATCAACGAGGATATGCACAGTGACGGATTTGGAAACTTTTATAGTTGGGAATACACTTAGGGGTATAGAAAAAGATTTCAAAACCAAATAATTCATCCGGATGAAAACGGTTTTGGGTTTTCCTTTTCGGCTTAAACGGTTCAGTTTACCAATTCATAAAGATGACTTATCCAGGTCGATTTTCAGTTGACTTTTTACTAATTCATCAAGGTGTATAATTTTTATATTTTATATTTCAAACAAAAATATCAGTCTGTGCTGCAAATGGACCAATTAACAATCAGGATATCGAGTTGGGGGCCCTTGTCTTGTTCATGTTGGGCGCACAATAGGAAAATTTACCAAACAAATCTTTTTATAGTCTTTTTTTAAGAAAATTTGGTGGGTTTGTTGAAGGACTGGAACCCCTACCACCATGCATTAGATCCGTCCCTATATATGCAATGAATTTTGAGTTTCTTTTTCATTTATATAAGTTTGGTTATTTTAAATTTGAAAAAAAATGTTGTCAGCTGTTAATTATCTCCAAATTATTCCAAATCCATGTCTAACAGTATTGAGTATATGATGACCGTTATGTTAACAATAATAGAAAATCCAAGTTTTTTCTAGGGTTTTTTTTTTATTGTGGAAGAGAAGGGGAAGGTGAAAAGGGTTGACAAATAAGAGCACTGATAGCTATGAATAGTATGTATTTACACGGTAGACATAAAGTTCCTACGGTGTAAGTGTATGTCGATGTTATGGTTGCTACAAGTAGTAATTGGTATAATACCAAAATCGTTTCCACAGGAAATGAACTACTGAGAATCAATGAGTTTCATGAACTTCTTGAGCACGTTTCGATTGTGAATAAAAGTCAAGTTTTTGTTGGTTGAAATGCTTGAAAGATGAAATGTGCTTATGATGAAAAGATGGGTACGGGTGTAAGTGTTTCTTAAGGCAACCGTAGTAACAAAATTGCCAGATACTTTGTGTATCACATAATTGTCTATAAAGATCTCGATATCTCGAAAGTAAACCTTTATAGACAGTGCCCACAAAATGCCCACCTTTGCTGATTCGTAATCTTGCCGATTTGACTAAGTTTGATATATAAAAATGAAGATCGATTAGGTAAAGATTTATACTCAAATCACTTTGTGATGTAAAATTTAACTAAAGTTTGAACCTTAGTAAATCATACAAAACTCGTATCTCTACGTGATTATCAAAGACTCCTCAAATCTTTGTGCATCTCTTAAGCCGTATTTCGAACTGTCTATCTTTGGGTATAAGGTCTAACATTAATACTTCAAAGTGATCGGTTTATCCATGTTGAATTTATTCCAATTGGATCATCATTCAATTTTCCATTTACATATAACCCTTTTAAGCTATTTCTATGACGTCTCTTCCTCATTACCGAATCAAAGAATTTGGAGTCTTCATCCCTTCCAAAATCCACTTAATTCCAGCTTTTGCAACAATATTTTTGATTTATGAAACTTCTTTTCCATCCATTTTGATCAGAGTTCTCTTCCAGATGGCTACCTCTGTTGAAAATTGTGACACAAAACAAGGATATGTAAAACGTAAAATTCTAGAGTTTCAAGCACGACCGAACATTATATTCAAGCACTTGCGTAACGTTACTTTGTGAAGCATGAAGTTTTAGATGCTCTGACACAACCACACCTTATATTCAAGCACGGTCATGCGAAACGTTAGGATCAAATTAGGATTCCACCACCCCATTGAGTCCCATCATGGTATAAAATGGGATTGAGATCTCAGAAATCCTAGTTTGAGTTAAGAAAACATTGAGAGTGATTATACACAATTTTGTGTTCAGTTTATATTTTTTCTTTGGCGTTTGAGTTTTCTTCATCAATAAAAGTTTATTCTCTTCCATGTTTTATTGAATATTTTAATAATATAATTCATATTGAATTTTTTGAAGTATTTTGACCTTTAATTTTTTATTTGAAGAATTTGTTAATTATAGAGATGAAAAACATAATTTCAGAAGGATAGAAGTAAAAATAGCAAATTTCAACAAATTACAATATGAAAAATATAGTTTATTTTTAATTATCTATACTATATTATAAAGCATTTGGCTAAAACTCTTAAAAACTCTTAAACTCTTAAAACTCTTAAATTCTTAAAAACTCGTTCATCCCTATCCGATTTCATCCCATATCTGAATTCGTGTAACTAACTGCAGATAAACACAATCAAATACATGATAAACATCTTATTTTAAATATAAAAAATCTAAAATATAATTAGGATAATCATTGAGTTCTAACAGAATGTTTAATTATTATCTTTATAAAATGTTAT